GACACAAAAATATTTTATAATAGGCCTAATTTATAATATGCCCATAATTTATAATATGCCCATAATGTGATTCAGAAACTAACAAATGAGAGAGAGATCAAGTGAGAGAAAGATACAGCGTGAGACAGATAGACAGATATATAAAAGAGAGAGAGAGAGAGAGAGGGAGAGAGAGAGAGAGAGAGCTGAGAGAGGGAGAATACAATTAATGAGAGAGGAGAAAGAGAAAGACAGAGATACAGACAGAGAAAGGGGGAGTAAGAGAGGGAGAGAGAGAGAGAGAGAGAGAGAGAGGGGGTGGGAGCCTGGGGATGGAGTGGGGAAAGAATTTCAGAGCATTGGTATATGCCCCCCAAAAATATTGACTGTACGAGAAACTGCGAAAAAACAGTGTAAACTATATTTTCATTCGTTTAATTTTGTATTCTTTAATTTCCTTTTTTTCCCCTTCTTTTACTTTTTTCGTCCTTCTCTCTCTCTCTTTTTTTTTTTTTTTTTTTTACCAAACATGCACTTTTGTCTACTTTGCGATTAAACCCGCCAAATCAAATAGTAATAAACTTGCAGACAGGCAATTGTGACGTATTGACGAGCCCCCAAGATAGCAGCCAATCAAAAGGCACAAAGCCTCATTATGGAGCCGACACCTCTTCCAGACATATCCCTCGGCAAAACCTTCCAACCGTGATGTCAGCTATTCTAGATCGCAGACACAAATTATTTGAAACTTCGAAATTTATATATATAATTTAACAGTAGCTAGACTGAAATATTTTTTATTAATAGGCCGTTGAATAAATAAAAAAGAGTTTTATTATTACGGCCAGTTTAAAAATTGGGCGAACGTGCAATTTAAAATGTAACCAATGATCGATGGATTTGACTGAAAAAGACTAGTTTCTCGATAAGAAGGTTGCTAAATGCTTACTACGCGGAGCGATTACACTGTTTGCTCAACATGTTGCCCTGATAGACATGTCTTCCAAGTACTGCCCTTACACTTGAAAATTTTCCATTGACGCCGCTTGTTTCTTGTTTACATAATGTGCTGATCTAACCATTAGTATAGGTTCATGATCTAACATCCTATTGAACCCTAACGATGCAACCGCCGGAAAATCTCATTATTAGTGATGTTTACATATTGTCATTAATTAGAGGGATTTGTTATTGTTATTATAATGTGTGGTGTGGGTTTATGCGTGTGGTTTCGGGAAGTTAGAATAAATATTAAACTTCCTCATTATTCAAATATAATATATTTGAATAATATATTCTACATTATTCTATTTGTTGTTGTTTTAATTGTTACAGTTCAGGTTTTTGGAAATATATATATTGTTATTATCGAAAAAAATATTATCTTGACTAAGTCAGCATTCAATACAATTCCAGAGCAAACAATCGGCCTTCATACAAACATATACCGTATTTATAGTCATTATACATTCAGAATTCAAATTCAGAATTCAATAGTTTTTATCGAATTGCACTTTTGCAGTGATTCTGAACTTTTTTTAAATTAATGATTTTGCCCCATCTCTTTTCTACATTCCCAGGAGCGCCTTCAGATACTCCTGAAAAACTGGGGTTTTTTTTTTTTTTTGGGGGGGGGGGGTCATGACCGTGATCAAATTCACATGGCGGCACCGCCCCCCCCCCCCCCCTCCAAATCAATTTCCCGCAGGGGCGTACGTTGATACAGCTTTTGAAAGGAGAGGTTGCCAACCCCCACCCCCACCCCAGGGGGGTAGTCACATAATAAAACATACGGGGGTGTGCCGCTCTATTGGGTCACTTTTTTTTTCCTGACAACGTACTTTTTTGCTAGCTTCTTTGCATGGATCTATCGCCCTCTATAGTTATAGTTCAATCCAACCTATCTACGGAGATATAAACAAAAAAATTGTTGCCTCTTTAAACAGATTCTACACCAGTGGCATTAATTGCCAACTAATTATTGTACCCACCAAAAGAGAAAAGAATCCCTGTCAGCCTCCAAATATTATGTCTACTGAATTTATTTCAATCACAGTATATTAATCACACTTGTTCATAGATGATACTTAATAGCAAACTATCCCCAAAATAAAGCAAACAAATCGGATAACCAAACTGGTGAAAGTTTGCACAAATTCGAACAAAACCGAAGAAAGAAATCAATGTTTGAATTGCAATCAAATTCTTAGTAAAGTGCAGTTACTTCACATAGGCCTACCCTGACACGATAACAGCCATATACAGCTGACAACTCCAATGGGGAAAGAGAGACAGAAAATAATAGAAATAAGTTGGAAGTATAAATAATACTATATAGCAGTAGACTTTATTAGATAGTTTGTTTTTAAAGGCATATACGGCTTGTACGGCCTCAAGGTCGCCCCTCCTGAAAAAACCACGGCGAGCTTAACTCCTGGCTTTCGGGAAAGGCCGGGCTTTAAAAATATATATATATTACTGGATTTACTATGGAATCAAGCCAACAGCATGGTAAACATTATAGTTCAGTTCAGCTTATAATTGCGATATCGAAGTGACTCCAACAACGGAGGACATCTGAAAATAATCCACACACACCAAAAAAGATAGGCCGAAGCAAAAATACAAACAAAACAAACATAAACAATCGAAGCTAGACCAAACACACAAAACAAGAGATGCCTCCGATCAATAAATTGCTTAATTTTGATGATTATTAAAATGGCGAAGTGATTTCATATCCTCTACCGCGGAGAGATAGACCTAAGTAATATCAGAAAATATTTTCATCTTTTCTTATCGGTTGTGATGTTTGTATAAACCATTATAGTCTATATGTCTGCAAAGCGCGCCGATACGGGCCTAGATCACAACAAATAAATGTGCTTAATCCAATCAGTTTAAATTTGTTATGACAATAATATAAGGCCTAAGTCAGGCGCGGATCCAGGGGTGGGCAAGCGGGCCTTGCCCCCCCCCCCCCCCCCCCCCCCCCCCCCCCCGCAAAAAGAGAGAGAAAGAGAGAAGGAAAAGAAGGGAAAGAGGAAAGAAAGGGAAAGAAGGAAGAGGAAGAAAACAAAGAAAAGGAGGAAGAAGGAGATCAGGGGGCCCAAAAGGGCCTTGCTTCCCAGGCTGCTGCCTCCCCCCCCCCCCATTCCATAAGAGAGAAGGAAATAAAATTCAAACGGTGGTTTACAAATAATGCTAAAAGGCATAATTTCCGAGATTTTTCCACACTTTTTTTAGTAAATTATACTTTTTCATGCGTTCGTTGGAAAATGACAAAGTCCTAAATTTACAGCCAGGCAAGAAATATGCTTTTTGAGATGCCTACATGTCAGGGCCCGCGGAACGGCGGGGATCGGGAGCCTCGAGCTCCCCCCCCCCCCCCCACACCTTTTTTTGAAAAAGTATAGTGAGAGAAGTAGAAAGAAAGAGAGCAAGAAAGAAAGAATAGCTAACTGCCAACGTCACGGAATAATGAGGTATCAAAATCTGACCGGGATTGAATGCCTAAAACCCCTAAGCTTCCGGGGCTCTGCCCCCTGGATTTCACTTAGGGCCCTACGGCGGGCCCTTAGTTTCCTCATCGTACCGTAATTTAGTGCCTAAAACCCTTGAGCTTCCGGGGGCTCCGGCACCTGAACTCACGCCAATTAGTGTCCTGCCAGTGTCACAAATAAGGTATAAAAATATGTTCATCTGACCGTAATCAAATGCCTAAATCCCTGAGCTTCCGCGGGGACGGACAAAGTATCAAAATAGGTTTATCTGACGAAGAAGACGCGTAGCCAGGGGGGGGGGGGGGGGGGGGGCGGTCCCCCCAACTGAAAAAAACGCCGGCCAAAAAAAAAAGAGGGGAGAAAAGGGAGAGGACTGAGGAAGAAAAAAGGAGCAGACAATGTCATGTTTGAAATTCAGACATGGATTAAGAGTCGAGAACGGTACAACGAATCGTCTTCTTTCTCTAATAATTTAATGAAACGTCAAAGCTTCCGCGCTTCGCGCAGGAGGGGGGGGGGGACTGAATCGTCAGACAAGGATTAAGAGTCGAGACGGCCCCTACAACGAATTGTCTTCTTTCTTTAATGATTTAATGAAACGTCAAAGCTTCCGCGCTTCGCGGAGGGGGGAGGGGAGGGGAAATTCGCCCCTCCCTGCCCCCCCCCCCCCCCAATTACGTCACTGCTGGTCACCATTTTGGCCCCCCCCCTAGAAATCCTGGATCCGCGCCTGGCCTTAGTAATTTACTTTTTACCGTGATCAAATATAAATATTTTCAGAATACGTCCCCTTATTATCAGCATCATATACTCGGGAAGACAGAGGTTTATAATAAACAAAATTATGAAAATTATAATTTTTATTCTTCAAAGTACCCGGCTGGATTATGACACCGTGAAACAACTAAGTCAGGTAATTTTGATTTTGATTTCAAGATCACTTATCATGGATTTTATTAATTTTTTGCAGGTTGTCACAGCGATCGACCCAGTCTTTTTATTTGGGTCAAGGCATTTTTGTAATGCCTGGAATCCCAGGACAGGGCGACAGGTGCGCTGCTCAATTTCCTGCGATCCACAAGCGCGACAAAAATACAAGATTGTAGCCAAATACTTTGTGTAAATAAACTGTATATCCAATGGTGGTTGGCGCCGCTTATTTTTCAAAGAAATGAGTTGTGTCTGTATCACATGATTCAACCTCAGAAATACGTGCATGCACCGTGTACACAAGTTTCGCAATCACTTCACATGCCCCGAGATCACGAACATCTCGCCACAAAAAGTTTCGGTAATAAATTATTCGCCAACAACATTTGCTGAGTGAAAATATTTGTTTTGTTTCCCCCCCCCGCAAAAAGAAATGCGTAAGTACTTATATGTTTGCTCAATTTTATGAATTATATAGAATGTTGAGCTTATTTATATAGAATTTCTCAGAAATTCAGTTGTGGGATAACAAGTATGACGAACATTGCAATGGTGACGTGGCCGTATATAATGTGGTCGAAATGTTCAGTACCTTTGCTGACGAAATAAATCAGCTGAGACTTGGAGCGCAGTGTTGACGACAATTTGATTGAAGTGCGATTTATTTATCAATAATTTACTTAGATCAGCAAGCTGAAAGGGTAAGCATTCATGTTTTTTGATCATCTTTATAATGCATTTGATAATTATGAAGCTAGAATGTGTTGTTTAACTTAAGAGCAATAAACAGTGAGTGCTGCTGAGGCTAACTTTGAGCTGACTAAGTTTGTTTTGGGAGTGATCAGCTACTGAGCTGAGCTGGTGATAGAAAAAGTGATACACACTCAGACGGAATGACTAAACAATCTGCATGCATGAGAGTTATCATCGACTTCAGTGAGAGTGAGCAAATGGTTTGATCGAGATCTAAATTTCTTGTACTACTGGTGTAGGCCTAGGTGAAACTGAGTTTGTGACTGTGAGGCTGACTTACTGTCAGTGTCACTGAGACTCTGAGCTGAGTCTCAGTTTGGTGAGTCAAATTTTGTTTATAAATCAAACACAAGCCAGTCGAGGCAAAGGACAAGCCAAGCTAGGCCTAGAAGTCTAGGCTAGGCTAGGGCATTTAAGATTTTGTCATCCAGATTCCAGGCAATACGTTACAGGCTTGCTGATGGGAGCAGTTATGAAATATGATATTGATATCACAAAGCTTTAGACTTGCCTTGTTTGGGTCTGGCATGCCCTAAAAAAAAATAATAAAAAAATTGCTGACTTTTTTTTTTTGCCGACTTAAAAAACAGTAGAGGACCTAGGATAGAACCTTGTGGTACGCCATGTAACAAAAGAAAAATTGGAGGAATTATTATTATAAACTACATATTGAAATCTATCAGAAAGATTACTTTCAAACCAAGATGACAGACAAATTTGAGTGTTGTTCAGTTTCTGAATGGTGAGTCAACACACCATTACTGAGCTGGGAGACATTGCCAGGCATAGCGCCAGATGGAGGGGCATAAATCGAAACTTAAAAAAAATAAATTAAAAAAAAATATGGCGGCAAAAAAGTGCGCTTTATACACCGTTAATTTCGGTACATGTGATTGACATGTGATTTTCATGAAGAAAATAAACATTGACCCCTGCCAAGAGCTTGTGATGTCGATCATGCATTGCCAGAATTTAATGCCAGTAATGATCCGGTGTAAAAATTGGAAAGGCTGATTATGCCTTGCCAATTTGATGCTGATGGCAGTAGGGGTTAGTGTATTCAGCGACACTCCAAGCACATACCTTTCTCATATTATCTCTACAGTACTCTTTCATTTGCTCTGGCTATAATTGCTCTGGGCTTTATTTCGTCAAATGTCCAGGGTTAGGTTGCAGTTAGGTTTTAAGTTGGGTTTAGGAAACTTTAGGGTTGGCATTGGGATCAGGTCCAGGCTGTACATGTAGGAGAATAATTCATTCATTACATTTTTTTTTTATATCAAAGAAATAAATAAATCGTGCGTCCCAACATAAAGTTGAATTGTGCATGATTTACAATTAAAATGATAAAATATAACATGAAACATATTTATACAGTAAAAAGAATATAAAAATTGAAAATAACATTAATAGTATACCAAATGTAGGAGCAAAAGAAAAATACATTACAAAGAAAAATTAATGTATTCTCTAACATAATAACAGAATTTTCTCATTGTCATGGTAAAAATGTAACACACAATCATTCTTTTTAAATACCTATGTGAAAGGCCCCTGAGTGTTTTGTCTTGTAATACATTTTATGTGAAACATTTTGTTTCCCCGTGTGCTTGTAGATCATGGGCAAACTGACGTGTGAGTGTCTCAACATCAACATCCACACCAAGGGAGATGACCTCCAACCCCTGGACCCCACCCTCCTGGGTCTATCCATAGACCAGCTGAGGGAGCCCTTCTTTGAACGGGACATCGCCGAGGTGCAGCTGGATCTGGGCGGAGTCACAGAGGTAAATACGCTGGTTCAGAGTTGCAGTCTGAGCATGAGCAGATAAAGGTCATTGCAGACCAAATTTGAAATACACGGAAACAAAATACTGGATACATGCTCATGAAAGTTATGTTATCATTATTCATTTATGCACTCCATGATACACAGGGGAAACAAAGGTTATTTATGTAGCACCTCCATCGCTGTAGGAGTGATTATTTCAAAATGTACAAAGTGGGACCTCTTCATTTTTCAAATATCTGTGGATATTCAGGTTCACTTGGGACAAGTGCTAACCGTGAACTGGTTTATTTTTGATGATGGAGGATTATTGGATAAAGGATGGGCAGTTCACGTAGGGATGTTTCCTCTCAGAAATTCCTTGTGACAAACTTTCAGAAAGTTTATGGAGAGCCATTGCCGAAAGGTTTCTGTCAGTAAAAAACTCTTAAGATGCTTTTTCTTCCTAATATTTGCATCATGGATTTTCAGTTCTAGATCTCTATCTTGCTAACATACCTCGTGTTCCAGTTAGCATAAGTGTACACGTGGGACTACACATGTATCAGATCTATTCATTTAAAATTGTAAGATTTGAAAAGAAAATAGTTTCATCATTGACTGGTGTGTAAACCTAAATTATTTTATATATGATGGACTACACATTTCAGATAGTAAATATACAAGTCTAGTGTTTGTCTCGCCTGCGTAGCAAAAAAGCGAGACATAGGCGCCGCTTTTCCGGTGACAGCGGCGGCGTCAACATCAAAAACTTAACCTAAGGTTAAGTTTTTGAATTTTTGATATAATTTTGTAATTATAAGTCCTTAGTGAATGAAACTTGGACTATAGGGTTATCAAGTATCCCCAATCGTGTGACTTGAATTTCAGGTCACAAAGTCAAGGTCAAAGGTCATTGCAGGTCAACAGACTTGGACTATGTAGTGGCATCATTATCAAAAACTTAACCTAAGGTTAAGTTTTTGATATAATTTTGAAAGTATAAGTTCTTAGTCAATGAAACTTGGACTATAGGGTAATCAAGTATCCCCAATCATGTGAGTACAATTCAGGTCACTAAGTTAAGGTCAAAGGTCATTTTAGGTAAACAAACTTAGACTTTTTTGTGGCATCAACATGAAGATTTTGAATTTTTAGCATAGTTTCAAAAGTGTTTGTTCAAATTCCATGAAACTTGTACCCAAGGGTTATCAAGTATCACAAGTCATAATGACACAAATTTCAGGTCACAAGGTCAAGGGTCATTTTAGGTCAGTAGACTTGGATTATGTTTTCACAACTTAATATGAGAATAAATGAATCAACTTTTGTTATTTGTTCATGATTCTTAATCAATATTCGCTTCAAAATGCTGATAATATTCAGAGGATTTCATTTTTCGGGGCCTGCTAAAAGTGCTAATGGGCCACCTTGCCTATAAATAATGTTCCAACCTCAATTTTTCATCATATCGAATTGCATAATGCAGGCAAGACCGCCGAGAGCGTTTCCCTTGTTTAGGATTATCATTTTGTCAATTGTGTGTAAACTCACATTTTAATGTACATTTTGGACTACAGATGTTTCATACGGAAGTTATGTGTAGTTGATCTACACAGGGAGGTGAAAGAAAAGGAGGCGAAACTCTTGTAATTTATTCAAACGCATTCTTGAGTTCTAAAGCGTAACAATGGGATGTGTAACATTCCACTTGGCTTTGAAGTTCCATGCTCCGAACCGCGCTTCCACTGCGGGGACTTTCGGAAGCCAGGCTCCAGTTTTACATTAATTACAAAATATTAAATTACCGGCAAAATTTCAGTGTAAATCAAAAACTTTATATGGGGATTTTATTGGGAATAGTGCATCAAACAAATTTTCAAATTTAAAACTCCGTCCTTCCTTTAATTTGTGTGCCAGAGTTGGTAAAAGAAAAATTACATCCTGTCAAAAACTCAATATTTTAGGATGATGCACTAATTTGTGCATGCTTTAATGTCCCGTTATTTGATCCATGGTTTACAATCTTCAATAACATTAAGTTTGCTAATGCGTGTTTTCGCGTGTTTTTTGTATTTTTCAAGTTTAAAAAAGGATGAAAGTACACAAGTTTGTGTTCGCTTGTTCTACTCTTTACACATTCAACAATGGATGAGAAATCATTGGAAGGGACAGCGAACAGTTGCAGTGATACCATTTTCTGATGTAGGAATTCTAACTCCTGAAATTTCATGCGCTCTTTTATCTCACCACCTGGTCAACAGTTGCAGATTAGCGCATAACTTTTCGGCGGCTTGGAGCATGGGGTCAAAGGAGAGCGGCTTGATTCCAGTCCTTCTCTATCACGTCCCTGATCTACAGTACATGTTCCTTTAAAACTAGTTGGACAATGAGTACACAAATGCTCTGAAGCCTACATTGTATGGGAGGAGAAAATGGCATGCAGTTTTATACCAGCTAACCAGGCAGCCACATGTGTTCATGTCCAACTGTGAAACATATTTCCTGCCTGTTATAGCTATTATCCTCTTCCTGCTTAGGCTGCTGTATGGAAAATTTCATTTTCAACTTTTGACATGTCTGGTAGGCTACTTCTAAAGTACTCTTTGTTCTGAAATTGCAGACATGTTATATGATTATGTTTAAGAAATTATACACTTGTAATTACATGTATAGAGCTTTTAGATTAATGTAACTTGCAAATGGTTGAAACCTCCTTAACCAGTGTTTCTTAGATACTGTATGAGTAAATTAAAGCTGTTTTTCAGGGGGAGGGGGGGGGGGGGGTGGTATTTATGTGAGTTTTGTAAATCTCTCACTACTGCAAATTTAACACAGCATGTCATCAAAATGTATTTGGGCCTATAATTTGTGAACATATCCATACGCCATAAAATCGGCTTACACTGTAGCCTGTTGTATTCTTTTATTTTATTTTATTTGCACACTCATTAATTTTATACACCTTTTTTACACTACAGGAGCAGAAGTACCTGGTGCACAAGACTACAGTTGGAGATTGGTGTATCAGGACCTGTGTTAACTGCAAGACACCATCATATGCTACCCATGCTACTAAGGGTTTAGAGAGGGTGTTAGTTAACACCAGACTTGTGGTAAGTTGTACAAGTATGTACTATAAAGCTTAGATTTGGTGTAATGTTGGTGTTTGTTTAAAAAAAAAACGAGTGTCAATGATTGGTGTATAACTACCGTAATTAACGGTGTATAAACCGCCCTCGTGTATTAACCGCACCCCTCTTTTTCAACCTAAAAAAAAAAAAAAACGACTCTGTCGGCAGCAAACAGGCGGGAAGGCCTTTCATTTTATTAACTGCGAGGTGCAGCTGAATGTGTAAGATCATTAATGTAAATTAAAAAACAGTAGAGGACCTAGGATAGAACCTTGTGGTACGCCGTGAAATATAGAAGAAAAATTGGAGGAATTATTATTAGAAACTACATATTGAGAACTATCAGAAAGATTACAATCAAACCAAGATGACAGAAAAATTTGAGTGTTCTAGTTTCCGAGTGATGAGTCAACACACCGATTACTGAGCTGGTGTGATGTTGGTGTTTGTTCACATCGTGAGTATCAGTTGGTGGTGTTTTGGGACCTGCAGTAACTGCAATACACTGGCGTACTCTCCATGCCATGACTAAACTAGAGTAGTTGCCATTGAGCATTAAGCTAGTCAAATCACTGAAAAGTCGCTATCCATACCATCTATGTTGTTGTATGATCTCTGTCCTATCACCAAACTGACTCCTATCTATCTTGGCCATTTAGACATTAGAAAGTAAATTTAGTTTTGTTTCCTGTTAGGTATGTTGTCGGTAGACCTGGTAAAGGTATTGTTTATATGACTGGAGTACAACACTGGATTAAAGAGCTTCTTCTGGTACATAAAATAGTGCCTGCTTTTTTTCATTTCAAATCTATGGATGTAGTTGTATCACTTGTTTTGTCTGCATGCAATCAATATTTGTTTGATAAATATAATGGACATAAAATATATTGATGCAGCTACCCTGGTTAGATTTTCTTTCTTGTCTACGTGCAGTGTGTTTACAGAAAACAAGGTGTTTTGTGACTGATTTATTTTCTTCAGTGTAGAACATTGCTACTTCAAGAAACGTATGCATGTGTTGATCTTCTTTTGCAGGAATATGATATCCTGTTGAAATTTTGTTTCAGGAGTTTAGTTTCCCCTGCCTTTCCCTATGTTCAGTCCTATTTTTAGATATGACTTTATGAAATCATTTCTAGATAAAAATGAGTTTACTTTAGTTCTTGAGTGTGCATACTGTATGCTAGTCTCTTGATCTACAGGTAATGGAAGTAGAGGAAGAATTTGTTGTAGTCTTCTCATGTTTTTTGGAATGCTCAAGTGGATAGACATTTATCCATTAAATGCTGAACGTTACTTAAACATAAAAGCATATAAGAGAAATCTGGCCAGGTTGGGTAGCTATACAACCTAAATTGAATATGAAATAAAGTATCCCAATAATGATACCAACTATGAATGTTAATGGAAGCTTGTACAGTTGTTGAATGAAACAACTAAATTAATGGGTCTTTTAAAATTTGTAACTCAGGGTAGGATTTTTTTTATACGACCAATTAAAGAGTGCTTTGATTGGCTAATATTTTTCTGCAGAGTCTGACAAACTCTGAGGTCAACGTACGTTCTAGTTTACTTGTAAACATGGTAAACCACACAATGTGGTCCATTGTCGCAAATGAGTTAAGATAGGTTTGAAAACTTTGAATGTATTTGCTATATATTTTCATTTCCTCACAGAGCGATGAAAGGAGACAGGAGAGTATCCAGTCCTTGGATACGTTCTCATCTCTGTACAAGGTGGTCTTGGGGGACAGCGGAGAAAAATCTAACAGTTCATCATTAGGTGAGTGCATTTAGTTAATGTGTTAATGTGATTGTGGTGGAAGGGGGGGGGGGGAGGAGGGGAACAGGTAGAAAAAATTATAACTACATTGTTATTAGGTTATGCATTCGGTCTGTGTGTGGATGTGGATGGTGGGAATGGGTGGAAACAAATTGTAACTTTATATGAGGGCTTTGGAGGGGCGGAGGTAAATGTATTAGAAAGGGAGGGGGGGGGGGGGGGCTAAGTATAATCAGTAGTTAATAAAAAAAGTGCGGCTAAGGCAACAATTATAACTTTATATGGGGGGCTATAGAGGGGAGGGGCGGAGGTACATGTATTAGAAAGGGGAGGGGGTAGGGGGATAAGGAGAATCGGTAGTCATTAAGAGAAGTGCGGCAAAGGTCGGGGGGAGGTGCCATGGCAAAAAAGTAGTTAATAAGAGAAGTGTGGCTAAGGTCAAGGGGGGGGGAGGAGGGGGTGGGATGATTGTATAGGTGTAAGCCCTATGTTTAAGATGGTGTTGATTAAATCTTCTATGTACATAAGTCTAGCAGGTCTTATGACTTGGAGGGAAATGATGTTGGTAGGATCAGATGTGTTTTTACACTTTTATTAGGGGTATCTTTAGATTTTTGCAAGGAAATGCAATTTATTTTCATGATGGGGTCTATATAATTTTTAAATAATTGATGTAAACTATTTTTTATTTCTTAACAGTACATCCGATGACAGGGAACCAGGAGGTCATAAGAAAGACCGTAGCACAACTGCAAGATCATCTCAACAAATATATCAGCAGAGAAAAACTAGCCATGGAAGAGAGAATAAGGTAAGAGAAAGAGAAAGAGAGAGGGAAAGAAAGAAAGAATGAAAGAAAGAAAGAAAGAAAGAAAGAAAGAAAGAAAAAAATGGGCCAGTGATGGATGTGGAAAGGGGGGGGGGGGGTAGGACTTGAAAAGATTGAAGGACTGTAGCGTAGCTTTAAGACCATCTCAAGATATATATCAGCAAAGAAATAAGGTAAGAGAGAGAGAGCAACGGAGAGGGAGAGAGAGAGAGAGAGAGAGGGGGAGAGAGAGAGAAAAACTAAAGAAAGAAAGAATAAAACAAACAAACGAAGAGAGAAAGAAAAAAAGGAAAGCCCAGAAAAGCTGCCATCAAATGTAGAACATGTGAGAAAGAAAAAAAAGTCTACTGAATTTGTGAGCTTTAAAAAAGTATACCTGTTGAGTTATAATGACTGTTTTTTCTCAGAGAATCCTTGATGCTGAGATATGTATTGAAATGTTATGAACGACAGTATTTGTATGGACAGAATCCACATTGCCAACATGATCTGTTGCAATGTCAGGCAAGTCCCTGATACAAGCTTTCGGTTGTCAACGGCATCTTTTGTCGAGCAGTATGTTTAAAATCTGAAGGCATTGTGCCAACTGGCCTATTGATGTTCATGTACATGTACATGAACTATTGTTAGTTGTTTACAAAATTCCTGTGACCAGTATTCACCTCCATACACATGTTCATGTACGCATCAAAATGCTGCACATGCTATCATTAGCATCTGGTGAAAACATTTTGTTTATCTCAAATTCCCAGCATTTTGTTATGTCTAGACTCCCATTGTCATCTGTACAAACAAAGATCTTGACAGAGCCCTTCCACATATTAACCCTTACATCACCATGATTCAAAATCTTTGATTGACTTAGTGTATATTGCATTTAGTTCTGGTGATAATGTGGTTAAGTTGTTTTTATATCAGAGCAGGGAATTTGAAGTTTGAAGAGGGTAGTTTTCCGTTGTTGACATAGAAGTGCATGTTGCATAGTTATATGTGTACATTGCATAGTTATAGGTGTACATGTACATGTTGATAGCAGGAGACGAGTGACATCTTGTATATACATGGACTCCTTGTCATTTGATTACGTTTAAATTCATTTAAATTTGAATTACTACCATTGTATGTTGAGATCTAATATGGCTTCGGAGCATTTTATATTTGAGGATTACGTGCCCATGTAAGTCTGAATAATCCAAATTGCTTCAATGTTCTAGTTTTCCAGATTTTTTGCTTTTCAGAAGTAAACTCTCCTGCATTTAAAGAGCCTTTAAGTTTCATACTTCAAATTTTGTGAGACACTAGTAAATTATGTTGGTCTTTTTGGATGAAGGGCTGATATTGATTCACCCTTCTTTGTTGAAATAGGCCTTCCACGTATATTCCAACTCTCAAGATATAGATAAAGGGTTGTTGGTTTGATTGGATGTAGAGCTCCCATTTTACTTCTTATTTTCATTAAAATGGGTCTTCCATGGCCTGTGTAACTTACATACTGTATTTCAAACTTTTAGACATTCAGTGAATGCACTGAGCACTACATTCAATGCCTAGAAACCTTTCAGAAACATGTTAAAGCGGTTTTATTTACAAATGATATCATGTTATTAAAATTCTGGAGAGAGTTTTGTGTATTTTGTTTTGTATAGCACCTTGAGTAATTAATTAGAAAAGTGCACTTTATAAATTTTTATTATTATTATTATTATTATTACAGTTGCCAGCCAGGGTTAAGATATCCTAAGTCCTTTGGAAGCGCATGGAGAAGTTATATCATAATTTTATAAGTGCTCTACAAGAACAGAATATTATCATTTCACCTCAATATTTCATTCTTTCAGGAGATACAGCGAAGAACAGAAAGCAGCATTCAGCAACCTGCAGAAGAGAGCGTACCAGGATAAGAATGTCATGGTTGGGTAAGTTTGGAGGATGAGACTGAGGCTAAAATGATGAAATAGAGATTAGAATAGCAGTTTGTGACAACATTCGGTAGCTCTTAAAATGTAAGATAGTCCACATGAAAGCCATTTAGGAACAAGGGATGAAGACTACATGTAGACTTCTGCTAGATAATAATCTGTAGTGCAATAAGGCATCAAAAGTACTAGGTGTAAGAGAATAGAAAGTTGAATAGTACTTTCCAGCACCTTTTCTGGGATAGCCCAGAACTCTGGTTGCCAGCTAACTGATAGAATCAAGTAAAGCATTACATTTTGCCCTTGGTGATTTGTTTTATTTTTATGGTAGGATCTAATGACTTTTCGTATGTGCTGCCCTCTTGTGGCCAAGAGAGGAAAACTGTATTTTGTTATTTTTGTAAGAAGTAAGAGAGCAGTAGAGAGCAGGAATTTGTATGTTTTCACCATGACCTCATTGGTTTGAGAGTACAGGGTTTATATCATAACCAAGTGCATTGGGTGAGTGGGATAGTGCAATATCTTTCATTTGATGGGATCTACACGTTTATGATCTTGTGGCATTTTACAGGCTGTTGTAACTTTGTGCCATAGTAGCCAGTGATTTGCTCTTTAGTCTGTGCAAGTGGAATTTCGTATTTGTTGTATTTTCAGGGGTTGCTTATAAAACCTTTGGGAGTCTATATTCTTCCTCTTGTATCCTAGTGAATGGGGGCTCATAGGTGTGCTTGCCTTTAATGAGAAATTCCTGTCAAGAATAATTCACAGATTGAAACCCAACTTACCATAAAAGGTGTGCTTTAAAAATAGGTTGTCATCGTAGAGGTTTCGTGGTCGAGTGGATACGTTACCGGACTGTGGATCACAAGGTCCATGGTTCGAGTCGCGCCGCGGCACTAATGTTCTTTGGCAAGACATTGATCTACATTTGCCGCACTCAACTCAACACAGGTGATTTAAATGGGTACCTGGCAGGATTTAATTCCTTAAATGCTAGAGCACCGTAATGGCAGCTATGCTAAAGCCAGGGTAGTAATCGGGGGCGCCGGGAGTGTCAAGTCTGACAGATATGAGTGCTATACAAGAATCCAATATTTTATCGTTTCATTACAGTGTCATCTTGAACGCTGAAGAGAGGAGCCTGGAAGATTCGTTATCAGATGCCATGTTGGATAATACCCTAACCCCACCCACCACGCCAATTACAAGGCCTGGGAATGTGCAAACCAGATGTGAGTGATTATATCATGAAATGAAGAACTATGAAAAGAGAAACTTTCACCAAATTTTTTAGTGGTTGAGTTTGTTAACATTTTGTAGAAAACAATTTGATTCCTGGATGAAATTTTGAAATTCATGAAAGCTTCATTAGCACAGAACAGTCAATAATAAATTCACTGCAATTTCTGATATAACAGTATTCTCAGATTCATCAACACTTTGCGGACACAAATTTAATTATTTGTATTGTTTTGGGGTAAAAGTTTGGCTTAGAACCTGAGGGTGTGGTTATGTTATCATGCGCAATATATAGTTTCTGCATTTTTTGTTTTTACCTAGTAAATGTTTTTTAATTTATTCATTTAATTTTGTTTATCTCTAATTATTCTTGAAGTAGCTGTTGTAGTTTGACATTCATTGCTTGTTATTTGCTTATTGTTTGGTCTCTGTTTATATGTTTTGTTGTTAATATGTGCTGATTTTTGTGTGATTTATTTTAGTTGCAGCATCAGATAAACTTGCCTCATCCGTACCAGCATCGAGAGCCCCTATCAGAAACTTTGGTCCGTCCATGCCTATTAAGAGCAGACCTATCCCCCAACAAGCTCGTAGAGTGCAGGTATGATCACGATACTTTGGTGGTGGTGATGATGATGATGATGATGATAGTTGTGTTAATGACAGTAATTTTGATGATTGTGCCGAGTTGTTGTTGGTGGTGGTGGTGGTGTTGGTCATGATAATGATGATGATGATGACGATGGTGACGATGGTGATGATGTTGATTGTGCCGAGTTGGTACTGGTGGAGGTGATGTTTGACGGCCTACATGCATGTATCATTCATTTGATGCTATCGAGGCCTGAGATTTCTTTCAACAAGCTCATAGTGTGCAGGTATGATCACAAAACTTTGGTGATCATGCTGATGACGTTCATGACGAAGGTTGTGGTGGAGGGGATGATGATAATGATAATAAAGATGGTGGTGGTGGTGACTGACTGTGGTGGTGATGATAATTATGATAATGGTGGTGGGGTTGGTGATGATGATGATGATGATGATGATGATGATTGTGATGGTGGTGGTGACTGACTGTGGTGGTGATAATTATGATAATGGTGGTGGGGTTGGTGGTGATGATGATGATGATTGTGATGGTGGTGGTGACAGTCACATGGTGATGATAATTATGATAAGGTGGTGGGGTTGGTGATGATGCTACTGGTGGTGGAAAATTCTGATTTTTAAGGTTCATGTACAGAAATAGTAATGATGTTGTCATTATCATCATCTATTTACAGCACAGCAGTGTTGCTAGATCCGTTCCCGCCCATTCTGCACACCGAGATATCACAAGAACCAGCTCAGATGCAGACAGTAAGTGTCTCCCAATTTTCCAGGATTTTCAATAGAGGGAGTGCGCCTCAAGTATCACAACTGTCTGTGTGCATACCTTAACCCTTAAAAGGCTGGTGTATTATGGTGCTCAGAGGGGTGAATGCCACCTCCTGCCCTTTCTGACCTCGGTCATGGAGTGATAAAAAAACTTTCCCATCTTTTTCATGGGAGGACATCTTCTAATTAATGTTTTGTTTCATATCTATATGATCTCATAACTGTTTTATAATTATCGCTACTAACTTATTTGATATTGCTATGATTCTCCACTGTGTACAAAGCATGTGGAGAAATGCCCATTTATTGTTGATTGATTTTCTTGTTTATTAAAAGTAAATCAACATGTTATAGTGTCTTTTTTATGCTTTATAAGTTTTCATTTGGCTATTCCATTTATTTGTTGCAAATTTGTGTCTTCAAATGAAATTTGAAAGCTGGAGTTAACATGTTAAATCTGATGTTATTTTGGTATGACACACATTTTTCAGAAGCCCAGTTCAAGTTTAATACCAGAGAGTTAATTATCAATAATGCAATAAAATGAAATGTTGACATTTTCCAACTTGTTTTGTTTTGCAGCCATGTTTGATCTGGAGGGGTTTACCCAGGACGAAGAACCATTCTTTGAATCAGATGAAAGCAGTACAGACGGTAAGAATCATACTCATCACGACCCTCCCCTGGGATAGTTGCCCCCCCCCCTTCCCCTTAGTACAATTGCCCCCAGGCATTTGGCCCCTTTGGGGTGGTATTCATATGAAAGCCATACAGATGGTAAGAATCGAATCAGAAATACTACAACCCGACCCTATGAGAGTTTGCCCCTATAACCTAAAACTACAACTCCCATTTGCACATAGTGACCTGTGTTAAGTACATGGTGACTGGCCTACTTACCTTGATATCCTTGTCTTTCTATGCTCATTACTCTGCCACTATACATTTTCTACCAAAATTATTTGGCACATGTCATTTATTTGTAATCTTGAACATACAGTGTGATTTGTTGGATTCTGCGAGTAATTATTTTCTATATTAACCAGAACTTTATTTACCGGAAGTTTATCTTTAACGATGGTGATGCAAGGATGGCGTAAATTATGTGATCAAGCCACTGAACCAAGACACCTCTTTTTTTCTTCTCCTTTTTAGATAACTCGCTAAATGATGAGAACCTTGCCCCACCCATGACGAGAGACAGAGTGCTTCATGAGTACGCAACCTCCGTTCCTATCTCCATGCCGATGTGGAAGAAGGAGAAGCACTCATTTGAAGAGGTAGCAGAGGAGAAGGTATGGGTTCAAATATCGATGTTAAAGGGATAGTTGAGGTTTTTATTAATTTAATTATTTTAAAGCGTTTCTAAAAGCATGAAAGAGAAAATTGTAATATATACCGCAGACCCAGAGCTCTATAATTTAATATGTATGTCACAGCCTGTACTCTACCCCATCTCTTCCCTCCCAGAGCTCCTCGTTTTCTGTCACCTTTTCTTTCTCCCTCAAATTTCCTTTCTGTTCTACTCCATGCGACTCCTCTCTCTCTCTCTCTCTCTCTCTCTCTCTCTCTCTGTCTCTATTTAATTTGTTCTTTTCTGTGTTTTTTCCTCATACTCCATTTCTGGGAGAGAAAGGGTGAATGTTCAGAGCACTTTTATTTCATCTATGACATGCATTATGCACATTGTCGAGATTCAATTTATAATGCCAGTTTTCAAATTTACATGACAGTTTTATTATTGCTATTATTGTTATTATTATTTTCTTTGTTTCCTCGATTTGTATGTATATATTGTTTATGTTTATGTTGCTTGTATATGTATGTCACTCGCCCGTGGAGGACGAATTTCTGTATTTTTGAAATCAGACAATAAATTAACTTGAATCTGAATTGAATCTTGAATCTTCTTGTAGGTGCCGATGCCGGAGCCTGATCGGATGGTTGCCAGCATGAGGGCACTGTCCTTCAGCGTCAACGATGGGACGGAGATGTTTGGCGACCTCCCGAGGCCGAGATTAAACACCGTCGGAGAAGTGCCGATCAAGAAAGGATCGCGAAAATTGTAGCTTAAATGTAGATTATAGCATGTAGATTATATTGCGTAGATTATCATCTGTTTTGAACCGGAAGGACGTTACCTCGTAAACTTTAACAGAGACCAGGGGGGCGTTTCACAAAACTTGTCATCAGTGACAAATGACAATTTGTGTTATAAGCTACTGAAATCCTTGCTTCTGATTGGTTATCAGCAGACTTTTCACTGATTTTTGTTATTTGTCATTGAAAAAAGGCTTTGTGAAACACCCCCCCTGATGTCCTTCTGGCTCCAAACAGACGTTATAGTATTGTCAGTTTAGAGCTGAAAGGGAATTGATTCCACAGTTACTGTGGATCAAAGCCCTATACTGCCATATTGCTTAGAGTATATACAGTCAAACCTGTATATAGCGACCTCCCAAGGAAAACACAAAAAGTGGTCTTTGTAGACAGTTTCCTTTAGTACATGTTTCAATGAGAAACCATTTTCAAGGAAAACAAAACATTTGGTCTTTGTAGACATGTGGTCACTAAAGCAGGTTTGACTGTATTCAAATATACTCATTATACATATACAGTGTACTTGTGACAGAAGTTGAGCATGGCAGACCACCGCGCACAAATGTCCTTTTAGGAATTAGCTGTAGAGGAAAACCAAAAATGCCAAAATCGCTGAACACATGTTTGCTGATAGAGCCTTCCATGCGGAAAGATACATCGTTATGGTCTAGATTTCTAGCTGTGAAAATCCATCTTACAATTGCATACGTTATAAGCTTGCACAAAAAAAAAACATGCCAAAATATACTATGTAGAAAATAATACGGGGAGACATTACAGAAATGCCAAAATTGTGAAGTACGTGTTAACTGATCAAGCCTTCTACGTGGAAACATTCATTATCATTAAGGCTGCAAAGAGTACTCAAATATTCGAGTACTCGCACTGTTGACAACTACTCGAGTACGATTTATCATACTCAAACAATTTAGGCAAAAAACATGGCCTCCGAGTATTTGAGTATTTGCCTGTAAGCATGGGAGTGAATTCGAGTACCTCATTACACGGTTATGCACTGCCTTAATCATTATGGTGTACCTCTTTGTCTATTTATTGTAGGGAAGGATTTGTCAGGGTTTCAATGGTGATGGAAAAACATGAAACAAAAAACCCAAATTCATGGAAATTGATTATTGGTGTGGGCCGTGTGTGGCTATGGCAGCCTTTAAGTTTGAACTGACAATGGGCGTGGTATTTAGATGCTGCAACCCATACCAAAAGTGAAATTATCTTGTTACAGCAAAAGGCAAAAAAGTGTCATGGAAAGTCATGGACTTCAGTTTTCTTATTTCTGTGGGAACCCTGAAAAGTAACAGCAAATCAAAATTCCTCTCAAAATGATCTTACCTGAAACTGATTTGAATTTCCCCCATCGGGAGAAGGGCATGCTCTACTTTCATGATAACTGTTCAAAATTTTTTGATATTTTAATGTATAGTCTATACAAAAGATTACTAGCAAATTTTCTACTTCAGTCCCATACATTGCAAATAGTGTTACTATTTGCAATGTATGGGACTGAAGTAGAAAAGTTGAAATGTCAGCTGTATTGGGGTCTTCCTTACAAATGTAAATTGTGTATATTTGATAAGAGACAAGAAGGCATTATGCAAAGAGAATCGAAATAATGATTAAAACCAAATTGTATAGAATGAAATGAACACAGAATTAAATTTATTGAAGAAAAAAAATCTTAATCAAAAGGCTTTAATGTTGCATAAATATTTAGGTGAGATAAGTCAAAGATATTGTATGTGTAATATGTTGAAGTCAAATGAGCGACTACAAAATTTAAAAGTTGTTAGCACTAGTAAATTGGCATTTTTTGATGAAATCAAAACTTTTGGTGAAGTAAAACTTTCATGTGTTCATTTGATCATGAATAGGGTTTTCAAGAATTAAATCCCCAAATTATTGAAGTCATCATTCAAACTTTCTTGTAATCGAGCGGGCTGTTTGATTTATATAGGGCAAGTAAGTTTATGAATAAATAGCCTGTTCTTCTTTTAGACATGATTTCTTGGAATGTTTGTTGAATATATTGATATTGGTTTTCTGTAGGTGTTTATGCATACTTACCATTGCATGACGGTCAATAGCATTGGCTATGTACATTGTACTTTACACTCAAGTTATAAAAAGTGTGCACAGACTTTGTAATGTTGCATTTTGTATAAATATAGCCTCTACATATGGACAGTTGATTTATTTTGCACATGTATATCATGGTGAGTTATTTTATAAGGAAACTAAATCTTATGACAAATCATTAATTTTCTCTTTAATAATTATGTTCTGTTGAATTATTGTGAATTATTTTTAAGGAACTTAAATCATATGACAAATCTTCCTTTTTTTCTCTCAAATCTCACTTTTCTCTATAATAAATTATGTTCTGTTGAACTATGGTGAATTATAATTTGTAAGGAACCTAACTCATAAAACAATCATTATTTTTCTCTCAAATCTCACTTTTCTCTATAATAAATATGTTCTGTAGAACTATTGTGAATTATAATTGGAAGGAACCTTAAGCTTATGACAAATCATTATTTTTTCTCTCAAATCTCACTTTTCTCCATATTAAATTATGTTCTGTTGAAATATTATAATTCGTAAGGAACCTAAATCTTATGACGAATCTTCATTTTTCTCTCAAATCTCACTTTTCTCTTTACAGGTAATAAATTATGGTCTATTGAACTATGGTGAATTATAATTTGTAAGGAACCTAAATCATATGACGAATCTCCATTTTTTTCTCAAATCTCTCTTTTCTCTATAATAAATTATGGTCTATCTAGTGAACTATTGTGAATTGTAATTGTAAGGAACCTTAATCTTATGAAAAATCATTATTTTTCTCTCAAATTTCATATTTCTCCATATCAAATTATGTATGGTCTGTTGAACTCATCCATATTCTAGAAATAACACGGTTAGTTTTGCCTAGTTTTGAGTACCTTCACGGCCCTATTTCACAAAACTTGTCATCAATAACAAGTAACAGTTACTGTTATAAGCTCCTGAAATTGTGGCATTTGATTGGCTGAGAGCAAATTTGTCATGGAAATTTATCATTAATTATTGATAACAAGTTTTGTGAAACTGGGCCCAGGTGTTATTTATGTGATTTATTTAAGAAATGCGTACACACGATCAGTATTGCTAGATTAGCTCAAGGAAATTGGGGTGAATGAAATTATTTTGTTGTCCCTTTTGATTTTTGTCATTACTGTATAACCTTTGACCTTATCAGTAAGCTTATGATTACTGTAAATGCATGTCTTGGTGTTCAATATGTGTATCATTATGTTTGCATTCATGGTCATGTGACTTTAATGTTATTGTATATATTATCTGTTGACTGCCAGAAGGGGTGTTAAACTCATTTACTTTTACACAGAGTTAATTAATGTCCTTCAAGCTCTCAATGGATAAATTATTGTGGATTGTCACAATTGATTTGTGATTCAAGTAACTGTGTGTGTGTGTTATAGCACAGATATTGCATAGTTGCTCAAATATTGCATATTGTTGTACAGGGGAAGTGCTTTTACAAAGGGAATGGGGGATGCAAACTAAAAGTAAAGAGGAACAAAGAGAAAAAGTTTTGAAAAAAATAAATTTGGAAATGCAAATAAATTGAAATGTTACAAAAACATGCAGGGGACTCATTCACTAAAAAACATATTTTTATATATTTTTTCCATTTTTAAATGGAGGGGAAGAACAGGGTACAAATTATAAAGTTGTGAATAAGGTAGAAAAGAAAGTATAATGGATAAGGAGAATGAGAAATGAACAGGGAAGGATAGATAGAAGGTCTCAAGAGTTGAAGGATGGGATGATAGAGGAACTAGAGATGAAAGGAAGATGAGCAAAAAGAAAGTGATACAGAAAAATTAATGAGAAGAGGGGAAATGTATTTCATACAAGGTAAACATAATTTGTCAAGGGTAGAATATTTTTGTTGGCTCAATGGTTTAGTTACGAAGTTGTGCCTGTAAATTTGCTCTCCTGGTTATGTGTATATGTTGCTTGTACAGGCAAACCTGTCTATGAAGGCCATGCCAGAGAACAGAAAATTGGCCACTGAAGACAGATGTCCTTTTTTTTGGACAATTTGTTTTCTTTCCTAGAAGGAGAAAACAAATAAGGCGACCTTTATGGACAGGTGGCATTTATAGTGCGACAGCCACTAAGACGAGTTTGAATGTTCGTTTTCAAACCAGTGTTGCAGGCTAAATTAATTTACGCGCTTTCTACAGGAATGCGTTTGGCCGAGTCTGGAGTAGGCAGACTAATCCCTCTGCATTGAAAGAGGATAGGAGGGTTAGTCTTCATACTACTATCTCCAGACCTTGCCAAACACATTTTTTTGAAAAGGAGAGGGGGTTAGTTTATGTCGGCACCCTCTAGTTTGCTCTGCTGATTTTCCATCTTGTTAGTCCGCTTCCTAGTTGCAATTTTATAGAGTATGGAATTTATGAGCATATGAAGCTACTTTGCCCATTTATGATTTTGTGCCTTGATTGTATTACGTACTAAAACAAAAACAAAGAATGTTGATAAAATGGTATGTTGTTGAAGGCTGCGTATGAGAATAGTCTTCACATCAGCGGTCTGTGTTTGTATCAAGAATGAGACATTAAAATGGCCATATATGGTGTTTTATTTGCAATAATACATCATTTCCTTTCCACTGTTTTTGTTATGAATGTTGTGATGTCAAAGCTTTGATAGACAGGGATGAAAACAGAGAGAGAGAGAGAGAGACAGACAGACAGAGAGAGAGAGAGAGAGTGCTTCATGTAGTACTAGGTGACATTGAATATAAATTGTGATAGAAATGAAGAGGGGAGGGATGGGAGGGAGAGAGAGAGAGGAGAGAAGATTAATGAAGAGGAAATAAGTGCTATGTATATGTGAACATGATTAGAAAAAGAGAATAGAAAGAGGGGGAGGGGGAGAGAGAGAGAGAGAGAGAGAGAGAGAGAAAGGATAATAAAGGAAAGATATCTTGCCATTGAAAATTACAGAGTTTGAACATTATGAGAGGCCTTCAGGAGAAATAAAGAAAGAGAGAAAGAAAATGAAGAAAGAGAATATGCAATGAAGTTGGAATTTACATGAAAGTTA